TGGTCTTTAAGTAGACCGAGGATTCTGTATCCTAAGGGAACGCTCTTTTCTCCTATAAGCAAGGCCGTAAAGGTATGCTGGCGTGTAAGCGCAATATTGATGTTTTGTTTTTACAGTGGAGTTTTTGGTGGCCTGGTGGTTTTTCTTCTGTTGCTGATTTTTATTTTTTAATAATAATAATAAAAAATGTGCATAAAAAAAGTATTTTTAAGTTTTTTAATTAACTTTCTATTTTTTTTAATCTTATTATATAAATTTCTTCAATTATACTTGAATTGTTATCTTCTACAACCAATTTTGTTTTGAAAAATTGCAATATTATATTTAAATATTTATACAGTGCCATTCTCTTCAGTTGTGTATTATCGTCAACGTTAGCTTGATGTGAAACCTATCATTCAAATTATTGAGAAGAAAATTATTTTACATCTACCCTTTTCAATCATACGATCTCCAGCTTTTTTTGTAGAAAATCAAGCATTTTCACGCATAACCAAATTTTCCATAGAATTATCAACATTAAGTTGTTAAGCTATGTCTCTTCTATAAATTCTGGAACTAAATTATCTAAATTTGTAAAATTTAAAATATCTTATAAAATTATTTCTATTTCTTCTTCTTCTATACGTTCAATTCCTAAATCACTATTAGAATCATTAATTGTTAAAAGTATAGAATCTATTTGATCGTTAGCCATCAACTCCCTTATACTTAAACCAAACATTAAATTAAACGGTGTATTAGATGTTGCAGAGTAACAAAGTCTATTATAAGAATAAGTTGCATCTTTTCTAACCGACATTCATTTACCTAATGCGTCTATTGTCATTATCATAGAACCAATCGGCTGGCGGAAATTTTCCCCTAAATTATTTATATTTTTGAACAACTAATGTTAATGTCTGAAGTTATTTTTTAAGATTCTAACAAAGGAAATTAATATTATAAATTTTATTTGGCTAAGCAAAGTGGTAAAGATGAGGTTTTTTGATGTAGTACCAAGTATTGCAAAACACGACTTATAATGCCGAATCCTACAAATATAAATGAAGATGGTATGCATAACCACGATGCAATGGGGGATGAGATGTTACTGTGATTTTGGCAAAATCTAAAATGAAACATCTTAGAAAAACCTAACCAATCACGAATAGGTAAATTTACGTTCAGACAGCAGCAGTCCTAGATATTGTTGAACGTAATAAATTAGGTGATTCTAAAAATTTAGGCAGGACACTTAATTACATTAAGGAGAGGATAAATAATGAATCTCTAAATGATTGTGATCATGGTATATACCAGAGTTATTTAAACAAACCCTTAGCGATTTTTTTTTCAGTACGATAGTGGATATGCTAAGCAAAATAGAATGATTATACTTTTTAATGAAAATTGTCTTTCGATGATTCAAAATGCAGCCACCTGGGTTTGTGATGGTACTTTTAAATCAGCGCCCAGTGGTTTTTCTCAAGTTTTTATCATTCATTTTTCTTACCATCAAGAATTTATGCTTTTACTATATGTATTATTACCCGGAAAAAGCCTTTCGGATTACAACAGAATGATTTGCGAAGTAAAAAGTTTGCTTTTAAACCAGTTTAAAATTAAGAATTTAATATGTGATTTTGAAATTTCAATC